TAATAATTATATATATAGTATAGAGAAGAGAGAGAGTAGAGAGAGAGAGAGAGAGAGAGAGAGGATCATTGAGAGAGAGAGAGAGACCAGAGCAGAGCGAGCGAGAGAGAGAAGAGAGAGAGAGAGAGAGAGAGAGAGAGGAGAGAAGAGAGAGAGAGAGAGAGAGAGAGCAGAGAGAGCAGAGAGAGAAGTGCGGGAACGCAAACGCACGAGAGGCGACTAGAACGGGATAGAAAGAGAGAAAAAGAAAGAGAAATGAAGAAACAGAGAAGCCAGAGAAGCCACGAGAAGGAGAGCAGAGAGAGCGAGAAAATACGTGAGGGGCAAAATAGCATAGCATCGCATCAGCACCCCAAGAGGAGGCAGTAAAACCCATGTGTGTTTTGTTCTAGAGCCTCGCACCTCCAGCCCCTTATTTAATACACCATCACACCAGACGTACCAACAGAATTCAGAGCCAAGATAACGATGAATCGGTGAGTGAGGTTTTAAAGTATTTCCAGAATTGTGAGTGCTTGCTGGCGTGTGCGTGCATGCCGGGTGTGGGTGCTGCTGATGGTGTGAGTGCTTGCTTGGTAACGTGCCTTGCTTGTGGTGTGGCGTGCTTGCTGGTGGTGTGCGTGCTTGCTGGTGTGTGCGTGCATGCTGGTGGTGTGCGTGCTTGCTGGTGGTGTGCGTGCTTGCTGGTGGTGTGCGTGCTTGCTGGTGGTGGTGCGTGCTTGCCTGGTGGTGTGGGCATATGGTATTACTATTAGCTGAGATATACTCAAGCATGAAACGTACGTGCGTGCGTACATGTATAAATGTATGCGCGCGTACGTGCGTGCGCGCGTGTGTACATGTATAAATGTACACGCGCGCACGTATGGGCTTGCGAGCATAGTTGCGCGCGAATAACGTGCAATACGAGTGCAGTCGGCGCGCCGGCCTGGGCGTCGTTTTACAACAGCACTATCCATGATACACAGCGCCTTCTATACACATGTGGGGAGATATACTCAAGCATGAAACGTACGTGCGTGCCAAGAATAGCAGGCGTCTTGGAACAGTGTTCCCGGCCGTTCCGTTGTGTATCCGGTTATCACACTTATTGGCCGTGCCTATGCAGCCGCTACGTGCATACAGTACGTCTGCAAGTACCCGTACAAGTGTATCTGTATTACTTAATAACAGAATGTAAAGACACGTTCTCGCGAGAAACAAGTGGCAGCATCGTGCAACCGCGTCAACAACAAGAATTCAACGAACAAATTTCAATCGTTCACACACGTTAAACTGGGTTTATACTATACCGACGTTAAACTTGGTTTACACTACCGACTTTATATGTTGTCAAATTGGCGAGTTGGAGCAATTTCGCAATTCGGCAACACTGAGTTGGCGAAAATAGGACATGTTCTAATCTCCCAACTAGCTATATTGACCAGTTGCTCGCGCGACTTGCGTTTACACTGCCGATTGTCGGTTGTCTAGTTGGGAAGTTGGTCCAATTCGCCAATTTGACAACATAAAGTCGGTAGCGTTAACCCAGTTTAACGTCGGTATAGTATAAACCCAGTTTAACGTGTGTGAACGATTGAAATTTGTTCGTTTAATTCTTGTTGTTGACGCGGTTACACGATGATGCCACTTGTTTCTCGTATATCGCGAGACCGCGTCTTTACGCGCTGTTATTGGTAATTTGATTTATATTAGTACAGTAGATTAGAAAAAAATCGTTCAAAATGTGAAAAAAGTATGAAAATTAAGGACTAGATACACAGTACCGGTCGAGAACCACTCAATGAGATGCACTTTTGGCATTTTTTTGGCTGGTTGCCAATTTCAAGGGACTATGATCGCGACAGGAAAGGCATTATTTGCCATTTTATATACCAAAGCAACACAAACTCATGGCATTTTTTTGATACTGGAGTAATCAGTATAGTATGTTCGCTATTATGTGATGCATTGCTTTTCGATATATTTACCTATATACCCAGCTTGTGCCATTTATTTAGATGATCAATAATTTACACCTAATCATGTATGTGTATGTATGTAAAATATGCGTATATGTGCCTGGCATCATCGGTCTATGCCCAACACGTGTAACGTAAGCCGCCTCAGACGTTCGATCCTTCAAACTTTCATCGATCCGTCACTTTTCCGCCCCGCGTCGCACGCGAACCGTACACGCGTGGCGTGTAGTGCGCGCACCAATTCATGCTATCTCGTGCGCGCACCCACTCACACGCCCACGTGCGCGCACCCACTCACACGCCGACTGAGCCTCCCACCCCAGCCTCCACTGATGGTGGGAGTCATACGGACGCCAGAACGGACAACCATACGGCACAACTGGCGGCGTCCACGGCTGCAGCATTCTGCACGAGGGAAAGTATGCCTCCCTTGTCGCTTTAGCACACAGCAAGGGGAATATATATCATAGGAAGACGATTTCTGTCGTTTTGATTCTTGGGTCGATGGTTTGCTTTTGTGCCCAGCCCAGACGTGGGCGGCGCATCTTGCTGCGTGCGCTGGCTTTACTTCGTGCTTAACGGTCAGTTGCTGTCACTCCTCGCCCTCTCAAAGCGGGTGCTCAAGATGCATTTTAACCGGCGAATCTCCCTAACAGAAGTTTACAGGGCGCCCGGTCCAATACAATCGTGGAGCGCAAAGCGATAGAGAGTAGAGAAAACATTAGCATGCACTGCCTGTGGTCAGGTCACATCCCACTTTCGTTGTTTATTCAGTACGCGGCATTTGATGTCTTGCATTTTTATTGAGATCGTTCCAAGTGCCTGTGCATCATACCCATTCTCTTTAGCGCTCCTCCTCTCTACGTCGTCTCCTCTGGCCTCTCTCTCCTTTTCGTTCTGCCCTGCTCAATCTTCTCTCGATCCGCGGTTGCTTTGCCACTTTGCCTCCCTTCCGCTCTCTCTCTCCCGCTCTTGCCGTGGTTTGCGCCGTCCCTCGCTGCCCCTTAATCTTCTTCCGCATCCCGGGCTGCATCTCTAATCGCCCCCATTGCAAGGCCCGTGGCTGCATCCTCGCCCCAGCTGCTGCAGTCCCTCGCCCTCATGCAAGCGTGGTGCTCCGTCGCTCCTCCCATGCCAAGCGTGGCTGCAATCATCTCTCGCCCTCGTCGTGCTCCCCGCGTGGTCCTGCAGTCGTCCCTCGCCCTCATGCAAGCCGTGGCCTGCCTCCTCGCCCCATCATGCAGCTGGCCATCTCTCCCCATTGCACGTGGCGCATCCACGCGGCGCCAGGCAAGGGCCATTAACCTCGCCAAACCTAACATAATTAATCGCGCTTAAAAAATGTATTTTAAGCGGCGAGTTGAATTCCAGCCATCAAAAGGGTTTTTTTAATCCGCGACTTGTTCGTTTGCTGGTTTGGCTGTGTGTGTGTGTGTGTGTGTGTGTGGTTTGTGTCTGTGTGTGTGTGTGTGCGTGCGTGCGTGCGTGCGTGCGTGCGTGCGTGCATGTGTGTTACAATTTTCGTATATCTATAAGCGCGTATTCATTTCATGTACATACGTCGTTGCAACCGTAACGCGTTGATAATTCTCATGAGTCAACTTATCAAATTCAAATCAAAGAGCATGTCAATGCACTCTCTCATCTAGTCCCAATCTCGATTCTCTCTCCCCTGCCTAAAGTCCATTCGGCTCTCGCCGGTGCTGCTGATCTCTTACATCTGTCCTCTTCTTCTCATCTTCTTTCTAGTGACTATGCTCTCTCTCTCTCGCTCAGCCCCCCAATAATGCACGCGATATAGAATCAAACTTCTCTGCATATATAGCTCTCTCAACGCATTACTTATTATTTATTAATATGCCGGGCGCTGTTGTTAGTTCCTATTCTATACTCGGTTATCTCTCTCTCTATCTGCTTTTATCTCGTCTAATATTAGTAACATTATTACCTCCTCCTCGCTCTACACTCTTCCCCCTACACCAGCATCACCACCACACTACACACACACACATCTGCACACACACACACACTACACACACGACACACCGAGATCACACCACCGCACCCCTCCCCCTTAGCCCCCCCACACCACACCCGCCGCCCACGACACGCACAAAACTACCGATTTTTAATCGCGCTAAGAATCTATTAAGCGGGATTTCCGATTTCTCACCCAATGCAGTCATACCACGTCCTGCTCGTTGCGTTCTGTCTTATCAATTTTCGCGTCGTTGTCATGACAATTTCTTTTTTTCAGTAACGCGGATTTAAAAGCTAGGTAGGTTTTTGGCGTAATGGCTTCCATGCAGTCTCGCGTCTGGCCGTGCCTGCCACCTCCCTTCGCTCTCCCTCCCCTGTGCTCTCTCGCTGCGCGCGGTCGCGCGCGCGCTCGCTTCTCTTTCCGCGTTCCCCTCCTCTCTGCCTTCTCTCCGTTGGCGCTCTGCGATCTCCTCTCTCTCGCTCTCTCCCCCCCATGGCTACGCGTGGCTGGCCATCTTCCCATCTCTGCCTCCCCTGCAGCGTTGCAGCATCCTCGCTCCCTCTCAGTTGCCAGCCGGCCTGGCTTCGCATTCTCTACCCCTCTCCCCGCTTCCCCGTCATCGCGCCACCGCTTCGGCAAGCATTCCCTTCGTGCCCAGCGTGGGTGCATCCACATCGCCCTCTTCCTCTCGTCTCGCAGCACTCTCCCTCCTCGCGGCTCGCTCCCTCGCTCTGTCACTCCGCTCTGGCTGCATTCTCTCGCCTCCCATGCAGCGTTGGCTGCATTCCCTCAGCTCCCATGCGCTGCTGCATCCCTCGCCCCATGCAGCGCGGCTGCCATCTCTCCGCTCGCATCAGCGTGGCTGCATCTCGCTCCATAGCCAGCGTGCACGCATCCCTCGCCCCATGCAGGGGCTTGACAATCCCTCGGCCCAGCGTGGCTGCATCCCTCGCTCCATGCAGCGGGCTGCATCTCGCTCCCATGCACGCCCCTCCCTATCCCTGCTCCTCCTCCCACGCCTCTTCTCCTCTTTCACATCCCGACCATATATACTGCCGATGTCCGAACATTGGCGGCGCATTTCTCGGTCACCACACGCCGGTCAAGAAAACTTGACGGAAGCCGCGGACGTCGCCGTGTCGGCGGAGGCGCGGTCCTGCGGCCCGCGTCTAAGCAGCGCCACGAGCACGATAGCGGCGACTAATGAGGCCAACACGAAGATGGCAGACGAGAGCGATCTTCGCTGCGCTGCAAGAGTGAAAAGGTCAATGTCAAAAGAGTCAAAAGTCCTCTACGTGCACGTGGGCGCGCACCGTGGCGGTGACGTGGGCTGCGGTCACGTGGGCGTGTGCATGTGGGTGCGCCGCACTGTGGGCGTGTGAGTGGGTGCGGGCACGTGGCGTGTGAGTGGGTGGGCGCGCACGTGGCGTGTGAGTGGGTGCGGAGGCACGTGGGCGTGTGAGTGGGTGCGCGCACGAGAGTGTGTGAGTGGGTGCGCGCACGTGGGCGTGTGAGTGGGTGCGCGCACGTGGGCGTGTGAGTGACGTGCGCGCCACAGATCGTGTGAGTGGGTCGGGCACGGTGGCGTTGTGAGTGGGTGCGCGCACGGTGAGGCGTGTGGTGGGTGCGGCGCGACGTTTGGCGTGTGAGTGGGGTGACCGCGCACGTGAGGCGTGTGAGGGTGGCGCCACAAAATGGCGGTGAGTGCGGTGCGCGCCGAGAGCGTGTGAGTGTGGTGCGGCGCACGAGACGCTGTGAGTAGGTGCGCCGCACGTGGGGGCGTGTGAGTGGGTGCGCGCCACGTGTGGCGGTGAGTGCCGGTGCGTGCCCACGGCAGGCTGTGAGTGGGTGCGCGACGAGAGTGTGTTAAGTGGGTGCGCGACGTGGCGCGTGTGGAGTGTGGTGCGCGCACGTGGCGTGTGAGTGGGTGCGCGCCACGTGGCGTTGTGAGTGGGTGCGCGCACGCTGGCGTGTGAGATGGGTGCGCGCACGAGAGTGTGAGTGGGTGCGCGCACGAGAGTGTGTGAGTGGGTGCGCGCACGAGAGCGTGTGAGTGGGTGCGCGCACAGAAGTCGTGTGATGTGGGTGGGCACGCACGAGTGTGTGAGTGGGGTGCGCGCACGAGTGTGTGAGTGGGTGGCGCGGCAACGAGA